AGATAGAAGGATAAGTATGCAAAAACTTGAGTTTCTACTACGGACGTTTATTCCTTTTATGGTGACTGTAGTCTTCGTCTTATCGAGTCGATATCCCACACCCATCCAGTGTTCCACACAGAGCCTTGCCTGGGGTATTAATGTTTCAAGGTCGTTAAGTGTGCATGAATTTTCAAGACGGAGACAAACTAAAAATTAGTTTGCAATTGTTCGCATTGGCAATTATTATTATCATCGGTGGAATATCTCCATTTCTGAATATTGGTTCTACAATGACCAACAGCTTTTCGGGGGCGATTAAGGCAGGACCAGGAGGACCAGGCATCACTGGAGCCAGTGGGGATTTCGTTGGATTGAGAGATAGATAGACTGTGTTCCACGTTGTTAAGGTGGCTACACCACAGGAACAAACGCTTATTAATAGCTCTGTTGTTCAATGGTTCGATTGAACGTAGGAAGCTGTATCTTGAGCCTCTGTCATTGGTTCACAGCCGTGGAGTGGATGACGAGGGTCAGTTTCCTGCTTTAACTTCATAAGTTGGGAGTTGACTGTCCTTTTGATCATCTACTTTGGTTGACTTGAAACACCCAGTGATTGATCTGCAAGAGGCGTTTAAGGCAGGGTCGATTTTCTTTGCATATGATAATCGGCTTTACACTGGTAAGACATATTCTGCTGTGGAGCAGCAAGAGGCTGTGGTGTGGATTGTACCGGCATGGGTACTCTTGTGAAACAAGTTTAATGTCTCTTGAGTATATCCGTTTTTTTTTTTTTTTTTGGTTCATAAATAAGTGATGGAAAGTAAGGATAAGAAAGGGTATAGATTGTCGAGCTGGGATGACCAACTCACTACTTCATGAGTAGGGCTACTAAAACACGTCCGAAGGATCTCGTTGGAAGGTTGAAAGAGAAAAATTGTCTCCTTTCCGGAAGCGTGGTCATAAAATCGCACATGTGACCAGATACCTTTTTCCGTTTCTTTATAATTTGCATGGGAATTTTTTTTTTCCTTTTTTATTCTTTATTATTATTTTATTTATTTCCTTTTCCCAGATTATATTCTGTTCCGTGTCTTGGCATTGTTTTTGTCTCCTTTTCATCATGTCGAGAATTTCAACGAATCTTTTTTTCTTTTGTCTATTTTCATCTTGGATGATCTCGATTGCTGATGTTACTAAAGCTTCTCTTAATGTGACCCATTTCGGATTTCCATTTTCCATTTTGTCCATCGTATATGCTTTTCACACTGTCCATATACCGAGTTTACCAGCAATATTATCCAAATCGTGTAACAGGAAATTGTCTAATTGTTAGATTAAGCTTTGAACTAGTATACCTTAGAAAAGATTAGATTAAAGATAGCTTACTGGAATTCTCCGAGGTTTTTATAGAACTATTAGACTCTACTCAAAGGATTTTTCAGTGATTCTTACGACAAATGGTGTCTTATCTGAAAACCTGGGAAAAAATAACTAAATCAGTTTAGAGTTTTTTTTTTCTTTTTGTAGGTATTAAATATTTTGTGGGATGGACAATTATCCCTTGCTGTTACACGATTTGGACAATTTCGCTGTTACACCAGGTATTTTTCCTTCAAGAGTCTGTCGTATTGCAACTTGGGTGCTGCCTTTACATATCACTGGATGGTGGTCGCATCCACAGTCGGAACTTGGATATGTTTTGCAGTATAAAACTGCTTCTTGAATCTTTTAATTTTTTTCTCCTCCTGGTTTTCTCCATGTCTGTATACGTCTTGGGTATTCTTAAAACCAAGTATTGGCGACTACCTGGTCATTTGCTGTACACCATTGGTCCCATTTTTCTCCGGGTTCATTACCAGTTCTTAGTCTGAATTTGCCAAGTATTTCAACATCTACCTCCTTACCTACTTTGGCATTAATTTCTTGCGATTTACATAGAGTCTTGGAGTTGTCTAGCGTAGAGTAAAATTTTCAATTTCTTCTTCTGTACTTTGTGCTGTCGGTGAATAAACGGCTATGATGGATATGTTGAAAGGCTTTACTTTCAGTTTAATGACAGAAATTCTTTCAGACAGTATCATATAACACATTTCTTCATGTCTTGGCCTAATATCAATCTTACTGAATATTGAATGAAACCTGTCGTGTAATTGATTGGGTTTGTTGTAGCTTCTTCCTTTAATGTCAGTTTTATATCTAGAGACGAGACGCGTTAAATTTGAGCAACATCTAGCCGACACACTGGGGTTAAAAATAGGAAATTGAAATGATACATATGACACACTCATATCCTCTCTCCCACCTCACTTCGTTAATTTTACGTATACTTGATGAAGTTCGTCAAAAACGTGTGAATTTCTTTTCATTTTTCATTTCAGCTTTTGGAAGTAAAGTCTGATGATCCAGAACCCTGTTAAAGGGGTTATGGTGAAATAGCTTATTACATGGAATCTTAACGTGGTCTGTTTTTTATTCAAACATATCTGCTCTGAATTTTACATTGAGCTCTCTGGATATCATCCTCTCGGGGTCTACCCATACGGATTACCTATGTTTGCATAAACTATATATATATATATATATATATATATATATATATATATATATATATATATATATATATATAATTCAAAGTCCTTCTCTAGACTTTCTAGAGTTTATTTCACTATTTAATATTTGATTGCAGATGTTTTTTCTTATTTTTATTAAAAGTAGTAAAGTCTGGGAATAATAGCAGCTGCCGACCACCAAAATCAAAATAAGTTAATTAAATTTGAACTTTGCATTGTTATATCTTAAAGACAACAAGGTGCATCGCTTATACTCGTGACTCTGAGTATATATATATATATATATATATAGATAGATATAGATATAGTTTTTCTTATCAGTAAAGAATACTGTTGGACAGGTATATGATGAAAAGATTTTACAGTTAATTCGCTGGACATATCAAGACAATGCTTTCTATTTACATGTATATTCAACTCCCAGAGTAAGAGTGGCAGGTGAGTTAGAGAATGTAAATTATATTAAATATAAAGTTTTAATTTGGTATAAGTTCGAATGACTCATACGATCAGCACCACCTCACACACACACACACATTTTTACAAGACGCTCAAACTTTAATCTAAAGACTCCTCAAAAATAGTAAATTCTGTTAAATGCAGCTCGTGGTGAAGGAATATTATAAACATTAATAAATAATAGACACATGCGCATAAATTAGAATTCAATACAAACTGTACATCTATTCGAAAAGAGAAAACATGTGTAGATTAATTTGTTAAGGAATCAACTAGCTTACATTTCCACTTGCGAATTCATTGCTAAATCGACGTGGTCAGAAGTTTCGGTTGATGGTGTATTTTAAAGAGATAAAATATCTTATGGTGAACCCCTGCACTCGCACCTTCCAGAGTGAGGGGATATCACAAAGGAACGGGAACAAATGAATGTTTCGGATTAGATTGGGTCTCTCTCTCTCTCTCTCTCTCTCTCTCTCTCTCTCTCTCTCTCTCTCTCTGATTGTTCAGTCTGTGTGTATTGTAAAATCCCATAAAACTGTTACAGCTCCTCTCTCCGTAACCAGGTCTGGGTAATGTTATTGCAGTTTCCTTTCCGTAAGTGTTGCAGATTTTCGAATGCAAATATTGGCCCATTATTATTATTTCTTTTGATATTTGTTGTATACATTTCTCCTTCGGGGTCCTAAGGTTAGAAATGGCTTCATGACATTTTTCACTGATCATTTTTATAAAAGAAAAACAAACAAAGATCACACACATTTTACATAGATTAAACTCTTCGGAATGTGTGAACTGCAATTGTGAGTTCAATTTTTTTTTTAATTTCTTTATGTCACGGCCTACCAGGATTCCCATCACTAAGTATATCGGAACCTTTTCCAATCAATCCTAGGGTTCCAACTACTACTAGAATTATTGATGTCCTCATGTGCCACATTTTTGAGATTTCCATTTCAAGATTTCTTGTATTTGATAGTTTTTTGAAAATCTTCAAATATCATTACAATCTGCAGGGACTGCTATGTCAATAAGATTGCATATTCTTTTTTGTGGTCTTTGATCCCGATATCTGAGAGATTTGCTTTAATTGTTCAATCTGTGTGTATTGTAAAATTGTTACAGATCCTATCTCTGTAACCGGATCTGGTTGATGTTCATGCCAGTTTCTTCCCGTAAAAGTTACATATTTTTCCAGTGCAGATATTGGCCCACTCTATCATGCCGAGTTTTATATTCAGTGGGTGCTAACCAGACACAAGATGGTATATTGTTTCTGGATATTTATCACAGAATCTGCATTTCGGGTCAACACAATTTTTCTGTATGTGTGGTTGTTAATTTCTAGTTAACAAGCATTGATCCTGTGCAGCAAGAATAAAACCTTCGGTTGCAGCTTTTAATATTTTAAACTTTTAAAACTACAAGGGATTTGTCTAGATAACCCTTCTAAAACAAATTATTTAGATAATGGTCACATGTTTTCTTAAAAAAGAAAATATTCGAGATAAACCATCAGAGGTAGTAGAGACTTGTAGCGAACGTCAGTACACTTTGAAAATAAAAATCGCCCAAGGACAAAACTAGTCTTTGAAAAATACATGAAATTGAAACGGCAAATTAATAGATTAGTAATAAACTGATCGCCATAAATATTTTATGTCTAAATAAAACCACCACTGAAAACCATTTATCAAGATTCTATTTGGTTGGTGGATTGATTTATTGATTCGTTTTCTACGGCTTATCAACTCTTTGCTGGTTATTTAAAGCCAGAAAATATTTTTAGATTGGAAGAATTATTTTGGAGATAATAACGATTGTGTGATACAATTCTTACTAATTAACCCATAGCTGTGGGGGAAGATGCAAATTCATATTATCCCAAGTGTATTTGCGCGTAAATAAATATAACGAATCCAACTGAAATTGGAACTTGACTCTCCGATTAACAATTCCGTGCCATTATTCATTACACCACAAGCTTAAAGTACCAGGTATTCCTAAGCAGTCACCCATATAGTTACTGAGCAGGCTCGACGTTGCTTAACTTCGGTAATCGTACGGAAACCGGTGTTTCAACTCCATATGACCGTAAACCGAAATTCTATCTGGAATCTCACCCCCTTTCCACCTAAGGATAGAAAAAAATAGATCAGGTTTCAATAATTACTGAAAATTGTCGGTAGTGACACATATCAACAACGGAGATTATGACAGTTTTCTTAAACATATTCCCCGGGTTACCAGACTTCCTCACACCATGCACTCACTAACAACACACAAGTCACTTGTCCAAAATAATTGTGATGTGAACTTTCCATGCGCTGTATAAACATAGCTACAAGATAATTTTAGACAAAATTCATCTATTCAATTATGATCTTCATTGACGTACTCATTTTCATATTCACTCCTGTGTAACAAGTCATAAGTCTTTCGTTATTGTTACTTCTTGTTAAGCATTCTCATTTCTTTATATCTCTACTGGGGCCAAAGCCAGGGCCAAAGTATCTTATCAGTCTGACGTCCTGATCACCTAATAACACGAGTAAACAACCTGATGACTTTAAAGCGACCAACACCAAACAGACATCGACCTCCATCCAACAGTCAACTACAATCCTTGTTACAAGTACGAGTACAGCTACTTACAGAAAATGGCAACTTCAGCATCTTTACATGTCAGAGTCACTGTTCTTTCCCTAATTAATCCATTTGTTTCTGAACTGTTATGTCATATCTAATTTTCAATATGGCAGTGAATATTGGACAATTTCCTCAAACATTAAGAGACTTGAAGCAGCAAAAATATGGTTCTACTGATGAATGCTGAAAATGCTAAAGAGAGAATATGTGAACAGCGAGAAAGTTTTAAAGAAAATGTGAAGTACTAAGAAAGTTATGCATACAATCAGAAAGAGAAATTATTGGGACACATAATGAGAAAAGATGGTCTGGAAAATCTAATAGCCATAGGCAAGACGGAAAGCAAGAGAAGTAGAAGAAACAGTGAGTAACCTACTTAACGAATTTGCGTTGATGGATGGCAAAACAAAGTGGGGTAGTATATGGTCAAAAGCTACTTAGAGCAGCAAAAGACTTGATTTTGTGGAAATCCATTATCGCTCCCTGAAGGAACCCAAAAAAATGTGATAGGAAAATGATTACGGACTGAAATTTTCCAAAACGAGCAACACACTGTGCCTTCTTGGTCTCTACAAACTGACTTGAAGATAGCATGATTTAGCAAATCTCCAAGGAAAATTACCAGAAAATGAAGGGTACATAAATTTTTTTCTCTCTACAAACTACATGAGATAGCATGATTTCAAATTCCAAATTAAATGGGGAATAATAACTCTCTTGAGAACTTATCGTTATTTGGTATCTCTGAGGTTTTAATTTAGTGTAAATGTCTCCGAACGACGTTGACGTAAACGAAGAGTGCAGAAAAGTTCTTGACCCCACCAAGTAAGGATTTTCAAAAAAATGTGATATTTAGTTACTTTGTCACATTTTAAAAAGATTATCGGACTGAGAATTTTTTGTTTTTAATATATACCCTAAAAATCCAAAACGAGCAACACACTGTGCCTTCTTGGTCTCACGTTTTCAACTGACTTGAAGTAGAGCGACTACATCGAATTAATAGCTGCATCTACTGCAAGGAAAGTTGGGTCACTGTGTCGTACCAGAAAATTTTCTCATCAAAGTTCATCTTGCACATTTACAAATCTACCATTCGCCCGTGGATTGAATACTGTTATCATATATGTTCGGGTGCTCTTGCTATTGATCTCGAGGTTCTTGACAAAATCCAAAGAAGGATCTGTAATGTAATCGATTCTGACTTGGCATCTCGACTTCAGTTACATTTTCACCGTCGTGGCGTTGCTTCCCTCTGTATTTTATAGAAATATTTTCATGGAAACTGCTCTGACGAGCTTTTTTCCATGGTGCCCCGATGACATGAATTGATATCTATGTCCCACCCGTTTAATGTTAAAATAGCTAAAAGTAACTGCCACTTCTAATTCAACAGTTTCTTTACACGCACTGTGGGACTCCCTTCTGGTTATTTACTTCCCCTACTACAATCTTCAAAAATGCAACATCAATCGCCATCTTCTATCTTCTTGAATCCCGTTCATCCTTGGTCCTTTCCCCAATCCTGCCTATACCTTGTCTTTTCTCACACCTTCACTCTATGTAACACCCTACGTACTAGTTGCATTTGCGCTTTACTTTGGGTGAAATGATAAAAAAAAGATATAGCCCTCTGTCTAATAATGCATTGGTCCTCCGTGTGCACGCAGAACCGATCTTGTTTGATTCAAGCGCAGATCTCACAAGGCGTCTGCTGCAAAATTTTTAACAGCAGATCCTTTAATTACTGAAAGTTACGCTGTGAAAGTTCTTCAGAGCGAAATTGCTAATCCGCCATACCTCAAAAGTGTTCAATGGAATTGAGATCTGAGGAGTTTGGTGAACAGGCAAACTTTGAATTATTCCTTGCAATCCATCTCATTCAGGGTAAAGTGAAAGCTTAGACAACGCGACCTTTTTATATTGATACATGGTACAGTTTCGACGCTCAAGTGCCCGCTGTAGATACTTTTAGCGATCGGTGTACTGTGTGCTGTGTTACATTCCTTCCTTGGTGATTAAAGCTTTCTACAATTTGTATCTGTCATCCTACTATTGGCTCGGAGAAGACTCCGTTTACATCTCATATGGATTAGTCTTGATCGTCCAATGCCTTGTCAGCGGTTGTCGGATTAATGGCGATAGGTACTCACCAAAACTGAACGTGAGTACTCCTCAAACCATAGTGTTTTATAAATGTGCGACACTGAGACTGTGAGGTAGTTAAAACACTAATTCTAAGAAGAAAAAGGGTTCAGCCCAAAATGAAATATAAACTGGAAGATAGAGAGGTAGTAAGAGAGAATGGAAGATATTTCCTTGATAATGTAGAAATAAAGAAAGCGCCATTTGAGTTACCACACCCATACAAATTGGAACAATGCACCAAAAGTTTACTTTTTTTATCTATTGAAAATCTATTGAAAATCTATTGAAAATCTGGGTAAAACAAATTGGGAAATGGCTTTATCTCGTTCTTGGGAAATTAGAAAAACGCATATCATTGGCGAAAAGAGAAGCAGACGGGAATTATATTTTCGTTAGCGAAATGGAATTGAGAAATGAAAATGAGAATGAACCCGCTGCGAGGGTTAACGTTATGAAAATCGATCCGTCATAACAGTCAGGTGATCTGGTTAATGTTTTCGTTAAGAGGGAAACCGGCCTAAGGATGGAAAACTGCGTGTCTCTTTGCTGAGAATTTAGGTAAACAAATATATTTTCATTGACGAAAACAAATTGGGAAATCATTTTTGTCTATCGCACGAAAGGTTAAGATGAGAAGGTGATCTGGTTTGTGCTTTCGCTGGACAAGTAGGTCCGGTAAGAGAGTCATAGAAATTAAATTAATGAGGAGAATAAACCACGCCTTTTCTCCTACGCATTTTAAAAATTAGATTTGCCACAAAGACAGTTATGCCAGTCCTGAGAAGTGGGTAGAGTTAGAATACCGAGAAGAGGAGGGTGCTCAATTTAGCTCTGCCTGTGCGGAGTAGCGGTGCGAAATGTGAAGTGAAGAAAGTTGGAGTTACGATAGGAGCAATCCCTGTGACCACTTCCAAGGAAGGTGGATAATTCTACAAATAGGGAACAAAGAAAATCTTTATTGGAATTAATGAAAATTGGGGAATCGCGGAATCTTTAGAACCCTTTGGCCCCACGCCAGTTTTTGGCCGGAGTGCATATAAGCAGATGACTTTAGGCAGCTCAGAGAGTTTGGGCTAAGAACCCGCATCGAGTAACTATGAAATCTACGTCAGCTGACACCAGATTTCGTAATTCCAAGACTTTGAACCCATCTCCTCCAGGAGTTTAGACAATGCCCAGTGTCACTACAGAGACTGATGCGAGAAGGGTTAATTTTTATTGTACCAAGAGCTATATAAACCAATTGAAGATTAATCCCATGAATCTCTCGTTTTATTTTTTCGTCGTGGTGATATTTTTCTTACTTAATATAGCACCCACCACGGCTTGAACTAACGCTGCCATTACTGAGACATCCGATCTTCCACTGCTCTGAGATCAAGAACACAACGTGGGTATGGTTGCTGTGGATCAAAGCGGTCAGCGATCAACAACCAGCTTGGACCAGCCTCAGCATTGACCTGCGCAGAGATAACCCTGTGGTTAAAACTTCGTTCTAAGACCCTGAGGACCGGACAGCTAAACGTTGTTACACTACCAGGTGTAGGCGACGGCCAATAGGCGTTATAAATTTACTGGTCTATTTGAGGTGTTAATTTAGACTTAAAATCATTTAAATCAATATTCTTGCTCATAACTGCAACATTCAATACATCAACATATATATATATATATATATATATATATATATATATATATATATTGACTGGAACAAAGTTTCTAGCGTTCTTTAAGGGAATTTCGAAGACAACTTTTAGATATTTGTACATAGATTTATTCAAGCCCAAATGCCGAATCTCTTATACAAATATTTATCAAAAATAGGTGTAAATTGACGAGTGAGAAAAACTGCCTCGAAATATCGAAATAATCAGCTTGCAAAAAAAAAAAATAACACCGCATATCTCTTACGATGAACTGGGAAATGTAATTCTTGATTCTATACTGAATGGGGAGATTTTCCGCATGCTGATGGTGAATAACGAAAATATGAGGCGAAATTTTATCGAATGCAATTTGAAACAGTGTGAATACAAGACAATAACTGTATTTGTCCGATGACGGCAATGCATCTTTTAACAAAAAATAGCGATGAACCTTAGTTTGCTTTCGATGCAGCAGACTCGGTGGGAACCAAGGACGAAGAAAGTATTTAAAAGAAATTCGTAGAACGAGAGCCAAAACTCGTCAAAATCCAATTCAACTACAGTGATAAAGCTTCTCGAACTGTTGACTTTTTATCGCGACACCAAGTAATGCAGTCAGAACCGTAGACCACCGCCGCGTTTTCAGCAAGCTGC